GTCGCGTCTCCACAGAACCTCCTCGGAGGGAGGCGCCGCCCCTCGGAGCAGCTAGAAGCATTCTTTCTAACGAAAGCTTTGGTTCTGGCCATATAGTGCCTCTTCTAGTTCACGAGGTTAAATATAATATTAAGATTTTTTTTTTACCTCCATGCTCTCTTATTATTATCGAGCCTACGAGAAAACGATTCTGGCGAGTGTCTCCCAAGCTACACGTGCTTCGGTCTCCAACACCCGCCCTATTACACAGTATTTTCCATCATTGCATCATAGTAAACAACCACCGGAAAGCGTCACACAAGATAGGCTGATCTTTGATGTGTACTCCAAGAAGAAACGACATCGATCCTCTGCGTCACCAAAGCTCTCTTTGGTCACTCCCGCACCCTCCCTTACCATCCAAACTACTATGAACAACTATTACTTTTAATTTCTCAGCCACCCCAACCCCCTGGTCGCCCTTCCATCAAAACTCCTTGGAGGGAAGTGCCGCCCCTCGGAGCAACTAGAAGCATACTTTCCACCAAAAGTTATGGATCTGGCTATCCTAGTGCCTCTTCTAGTAGTTCATGAGGTAAAATATAACATTAAGATTTTTTTTACTAGTAGTAGTAGTAGTAGTAGTAGTAGTAGTAGTAGTAGACTACTAGTCTACTACTACTATTACTAATCCTAGTATTAGTAGTAGTACTACAACATCCAGGTTCTCCTAGTAGCACTACCACTAGTACTACCAGCAGTATTCCCATTACTAGTCGTACCAGCAGTACTCCTGCTGGCATTAGTAGTACTCCAATACAATTAAAAAGGTACACTAAAGATCCATTTGATACTTGACCAAATGGTATATTCAGAATCCTCATAAAAAAACTGGTGTAGACAGTCTCTTCAAAAATTATATTATTACTATTTTTGATAAAGTTATGACTACTTAAAAGTTGGATAGTTTTACTAGTATTATGCAGGGCCCTCAGTTAGAATTTTCAAAAAAATTAAATAGTTTCCCGTACACCCCGCAAAACAAGGAGAAACAAAGAGAATACTTCTCTTTGTTAGAAAGGGCAATATTCTCATTGTTTCTCGTTGTTGTAACAAAGAGAAACTAAGAGAACATTGSCTCTCCTTGTTTCTCTTTGTTTCACATTGTTTAAATAAGGAGAAACAACGAGAATATTGCCTGGGTWATTTTCTCATTGTTTCTCTTTGTTTAAGCAGAGTAAATTTTACCTGGGCACTATTCTCTGTATTTTTACATAGTGAAATGATGGGAGCAATTCCCATTCATACAAGGAGAAACAAAGAGAATATTGCCCGGGCAATATTATCTTTGTTTCTCTATATTTAAACAAAGAGAAACAAAGAGAATATTGCTTCTCCTTGTTTCTCTTTGATTCGTTGATTTTTAACAAAGAGAAACAAAGAGAATATTGCCTGGGCAATTCTCTCTTTGTTTCTCTTTGTTATAACATGGAAAAACCTATGGGAATCCCTGATCTTGGTTGGTGACTACTGTCTTCCTTAAAAACTAACGGAGGGCCCAGTAAAAATTAGAAATAAAAATTCCGTAAGCTGATTTTTTTATTTTGGGACCGAGGTTGGAATATGATTTTTCGAATGGATGCGCACCCCCTCCACATTTATGACCCCTGCCGTACGGTACGTGCACCAAAAACATCACGTCAACGACCACTTATTTTTCATTTTTTTCCACTGATTGAATTTGACCTCGACTGTACCGTGGGTACAGTAGAGCAACACAATCAACTGATATGCCGAATTTTAAATTTTTACTACTATTACACTAATCTGAACCGTACCGGCCGGTATGGCATCTGTCTTCCTCTGCATCGTCCTTCAAGATAAACAATCCTCCTCTCTGTAACTCTCGTGATCGTGCCAAGTCTTAAAGCTCTGATTTAAACAAAACGCGGAATAACCACAGTAAAGATGGCATCAATCGTTGACGGAAAGAAATTCGAGAAAGACCRATCTGCTTCCGCTTCCGCTTCCACTTCATCTGCCGATCCCAACAACGATGCTACTACCGATAAGTCAACCAACTATTCAAGTCGTGGACCCGGAAAAGAGGGAGATTTGGTAATTCGTGATGGGTTTCCGGCCCTTTATATCCCTAAATGCAAGCATGCAGATTCCAGTGATGATAAAACCGAAGATCCGCTATCGTTTGAACCGATGGTTAAAGGAGAAGAGCCTATCCCTCGACATGAGTTTTGGTCTTCGGAGGATGTCATCCAATTTGATGGTGAAAATTCAGACAACCTAGAATTGCTTAGGGACGATTGTGCAACTGTTTTTACCGCTAGAGATAAACCTGATGGTGCAGCATACTCGGCCGGTCAAACATTTTTCATTCCGGCCAATATGAAACCCCGCTGTGCCTTGGAGGCTTTGGCTTTGAAAATATTCCACGAGCACACAAAAGACCTCGAACCAGGCACTTTCAATCCAACTCAAAGTGGTGCGAATTGGTGGACATTGGTAATGGATGACGAAGCTGATCATGGGAATGCACTTAGTGCTCCCGCACTCACTGCTTCTTCTTCTGCCTCTGCCACACTAGCTTCTACAGCTTCGACCTGTTCAACAGTGGAAGGAGCGAAATCCAAGGAATTGCAACAACAAGAAGAATTCGATGAAGAAGGCGACGACGAAGTAGGTCTTCATTTCGATGCCGACTACGAGCTCGAGGAACAAACGGGAAACATACTATTGCATCCTCGGGTTGCCACCGTGACATATCTATCAGACCATGGAGCTCCGACGCTTGTGTTGGACCAAAAAAGTCCACCGATGGATGATTTGAAAAAAACAACGTTGGAAAACGGAATCAATAAAGCCTGGCTTTCGCATCCAAGACTTGGCAAACACATGGCTTTTGATGGAAGGTACGACGTCGAAACCGTTTGTTGTTGCTGTTGTCGTCGTCGTCGTCGTTGTTGTTGTCGTCGTTGTCGTTGTCGTTGTCGTTGTCGTTGTCGTTGTTGCTTTTTGTTGTTGTTGTTGTTGTTGTTGTTGTTGTGTTGTCGTGTTTTGCTTTATTTTTCTTTCGATCAAAACTTTTATCATCAGCACATCATAAATACATGGTACATATTCTTAGAAGGACTCACTGGCTCACGAATGCAAATCACATATTGTTCCGCCGAAAGGTTTCTTCACGGAGCGCCTGCGTTGTACTTTCCACCAAATCGTAGTGTCGCTCATGTTGATAAGGACGAATCAAAAGAACCTGCAGCTAAGCGACAAAAGATCATCAAAGATACCAAACGATATACTCTTCTTGTAAACATTTGGCTGAATCATTGGGTCATGGATGCTGGACTATTGGACGATGAAGTATGCGCGAAGATGAAAACACCCTGGGAAGATGAGAGGAGCAACTTGAAAAGTGACGATGAATACAAACCTCYGTTTGTATGGAATAAGGATGTTGACTTGACGAAGGGACCAGTTGGTATTAAAAAAGAGAAACTCTCTCCTTCAAATGTTGACCCGGCGGGTGAAGATGAAATTGCCTTGTGCAATCATAATGTTACAGTCAAATATAACCCTTTGATGGAAGAGTGTCACGCTGTATCTTTTTCAGGCTCCACGATAGAGCTTGAACTGGAGAAGGGAGCGATAAGTCTTCACGTCGGGGAGGAGCTAACAGAAGAGGACGAGGAGGAAGGAGGGGATAAATCATAATTTCTGCGAAAATAGTTCAAAATGTTATGAAAACATTACCAAGTTTAAGTTCTGATCAATACGTTGCTAGAGGCAACTGATTTTTGGATCTATCCTGTTATATAATCATTTGTTCATGCAAGGTAATATCAATCTTCATATGTCTTGCTTTGCATCGTATGAAGTTCATAATCATTTTTGCATGGCGTCTTCTGGCGTTTTTGTTTTGCAGCTTGTTTGTTTCGTGCCGTGTCGGAAACAGCGTCGAAAGCCTGATTCAAGTCAACACAAATACCTGAAAAATCTCGATGTTTTCTCTTCTTAGTTTTCTTTTTCCTGGTTGCTGTTTGACTCTTGTTCTCGTCAAACGAAGGTAGCAGCAGTGCTGGAGGAATTGGAGGCAGTCTACTAGTAGGAGGAGTTTGGAATCTACTTTCCAAACAATCGCTCTTGTTTTTGGCAAACCAATTTTGCATKGAGTCCACGTTCTTGTCGGCGGCAATATTCGAAGTAGAAATGAATTTACTGCTGCGTTTCTGCAAGCGAAAGCCAACGCGGGGAGCACCTCGATCGAAACAAGGGGCCATCTTCGTAGACAAATAATCTTATGATTTATAGCTATCGGTTGTTCCAGATGCGTTCTTACTTGTATTCTTATTGACCGCAAACTGTGATTTTCGATTAGGAAGTGGAATTCATCTGGTTCTTGAAATCGAAGAAATTTGCGTTTTCTTGGTTCCCTCCACCTGCTTTTTGCGCGCACCTTCGATTAGGTATCTTTTGCCATCTGCCCTCGCTAGRGG